CCTGCACGAGGCCGCTGTGCTGGGTAACCTGAGGGAGCGTTATGAGAACACTCTCATCTACGTGAGTATTCATTCATCAAATGGTCCACCGCAATATCCGCATTTTGCAAATCGTGCGATCCCCCTTTTGATAAGCGATGCTTCCTAGTAAGCTATTTGATACCTTATCGTGATATGAGACATATAATTCGGGTTCCTAAATGTAGGATCTACATCATCTTTAAAAAGTTTCCAAATTCATTCTAGACCTACTCCGGCCTGTTCTGCGTCGTGATCAACCCATTTAAGCTGCTGCCCATCTATACCCCGGGCGTGGTGGACCAGTACCGCGGCAAGAGGCGTACGGAGGTGCCTCCCCATCTCTTCTGCGTGGTGGACAATGCCTACCAGAACATGGTGGCAGGTAATATAAGTCCCTAACTCAGGTTCTATGGTGATCCGAACAGCTAAGATCATGAAGAAACTCAGTCCTCGTAGTGATTTGGGGCTTTGGTGCAATTTGTTGTCTTACCCATCCACTCAAAACCTGCTTGGTCAAAGACAATCCATATTTGCATGCGGCTAGCTATGTTGACAAAAAATGGGGAATGGGAGATGGAAGACAAAGTATTTATTATCTTAATGGTAGTTATCAGCAAGGTTGTTGGTTGTTGCATATTGCTTGAGTAAAATAAGCCTGATAAGATAGTTGAATTTGCCTATAAGACCATTTCCTATTTGCTAATGACCATGTTTCCGTATTACCTTTCCAGAACGTCAGTGCCAATCTTGCCTCATCACGTAAGATATTTATATATTGCTTTCTCTTTTTGACCGATATAAATACTGATGATGTGTAGAGTGGCTGTTAACATTGAGAACTTTCTCTACTTATTGCTTATTATGGTTTGATGAATCTGCCGTATTCCTCTATTCCTCATTCCCCAACAAACACGTTGCAATGAAAATCTTGCCTACACTTCAGTGGCGAGTCTGGAGCCGGGAAGACTGAGAACACGAAGAAGGTTATTGCCTACCTGGCCATGGTTTCCGGAACCCCCGGTGGTGGCCAGGAGAAGAAGGTACGTCATTTGTAAAAAGTATAAATTTCGCCTTTAAGTACAGCTACCTTAGCAGCAAACTTCACCGATTGGGTGAAGGCAGAGGACAACATTTGTCCCCTGAAAGTCAACATTTGTCCCCTGAAAATCCATAGTTATCGTATTTTTGCTTGTTTTGCCATTCCTGTAGATCGGTCTAGAGGAGCAGATCGTGCAGACTAACCCTGTACTGGAGGCTTTCGGTAACGCCAAGACCGTGAGGAACAACAACTCCTCCCGATTCGTAAGTACAACAGGTTGCTTTCTAGTGACAACCAATTTAATGACATCGATTGCGTGGCAGATGAGTTCAAGTGAACAAGTAAAAGTAACTAATTATAATAATATTCATGAATGCATGTCAACCTTCAAAATACGTTTCTTTATGAGAACACATTAAAAACATTTTTTTCATTGACTACCTCCAGGGTAAATTCATCCGTATCCACTTCACCAAGATCGGCAAGCTGTCCGGAGCTGACATTGAAAGCTGTATGTACATTAATCCCATTCCCTATTATTCTTCATAAGCTTGTAGAGCTTAACATCGCCTATGTCTGTAAGGCACAAATAATTCTTTCCGAAGAATATATACCATGTACTAATGTGTCAAGCATACATCTGTACTGACTCATTTTGTCCGGCATCAAGTATTTTGTTTTAAAGACAACCTACTCTTAGGGGCAAATGTGTAGTTCTTGGCATACTGGCAACACCAAATCATTGCCTGCCCTAATAAGTGTTGGGACACCCTTTAGACAGTTAATTAGCAGAGGGGCCTGGTGGGTGTGCTTCACTGTGCACTGAGGAAAGTCGTGTAAAGTGCCTTTCTCAAGGGCACAGCATAGGGCATGTCAAACGCGGGATCGAACGCGGGACACCTTGGTTCTGAGTCTAACGCTCTGACCATTACGACACGCTAGGCCTCGTTTATTTGACAAAATACATATAATTGAATAGTTTGTAATACATGCTAAATTTAAGTCACTTACCACATATTTTACTCTTCTTCTTGAATTTCCAGACCTGCTGGAGAAGTCCCGTGTAGTGGATCAGCTGCCCGGCATGGAGCGTGGTTACCACATCTTCTTCCTCATCATGTCCAACGGCATCCCGGCTGTCACTGGTAAGAAATCACCAAAGTTGTTCATACTGCGGAGAGGGATAAACAAAGATAGGAAACGGTTTAGCCACCTTAGCTTCGTTAATGGCAAACAGCTTAGCAAGTCTTTGCATTGATAAGATAAGCCTTGTTTGGCAAAAATATACTATATAATCCCGACAATGTGCAGAAAATGGGTGCATCCAAAGACCCTACTTTAAGCTATTTCTCTTTCCTATAGAGCGCATCATGACTGGCACGGACCCCTCCGTGTACCACTTCGTGAAGGAGGGTGTGTACACCGTGGCCGGTATGGACGACCAGGAGGAGATGCGTCTAACGGATGAGGGTTTCGACATCCTGGGTTTTGCACCTGAGGACAAGTCCAGTGTTTACGACTTCTGCGCTGGCATCCTGCACATGGGAAATCTGAAGTACGTGGACAAGAAAGAGCAGGGAGACTGCGACGATCCTGCTCGTAAGTTTTCACAAAATATTAAAATTTGTATCGAGTCAGTCCAACACCAGAAACCTTTCCGTCAAAATTGTGGCGTCCAGTATAATTTGCTGGTAAATCAATGCATTTGTACCAGACATAAACAACAATTGTACCAAAATGGGTGGTAGGATGCGTTGTTTCTTCCATTAAACGTTTCTGTAAAAACAAGTATCTTGCTAAAACATCGCGCCATTGTTCATAATTTACAGCCGCGGAGAAGGCAGGCCGTATGTTCGGTGTCGATGGCATGCAACTTTTGAACAACATCTTGAAGCCACGTGTCAAGGTCGGCAACGAGTTTGTGACGAAGGGCCAGACTGCCCAGCAGTGTTCCAACTCCACTAGTGGTCTGGCGAAGGGTATCTATGGCAAGATCTTCAAGTACCTGATCGACAAGTGTAACGAGACCCTGGCTACTGAGCACGAGAGAGCCTTCTTCATTGGTGTGCTGGACATTGCTGGCTTTGAGATCTTCGAGGTAAGCTTTTTTATAGAGAAAACACGTGACAAATCATACCTTTGTTAATCTGGTTCATTGGTCAGTAACCTCGCAAAACAGTTTCTTTACCAAGGCTTCTCTAACTTGTTCTTTCTCTCAAACTCATTCAGCTGAACAGTCTTGACCAGATTTGTATCAACTACACCAACGAGAAGCTGCAGCAGTTCTTCAACCACCACATGTTCGTACAAGAGCAGGAGGAGTACAAGGCTGAGCAGATCGAATGGACCTTCGTCGACTTCGGTATGGACTTGGCAGCTTGCCTGGAGCTGATCGAAAAAGGTTACCGAACTTTTCAATAGTAAAAATCATTTTTCGGGGGAGTCTAAGCATGTCCTTTTTCTCCCCGTTACATTCAATTCACCAGACATCCAAATTCTAGGTGTATTCAAAACGAATGTTTTGCAACATACAGAAAAATGGCCTGCTGCCAACCCTGGAGGAACAGTGCATCATGCCTAAGGCCTCTGACCAGACCTTCATCGAGAAGCTGCATAACACCCATCTGGGCAAGCATCCCAAGTACGGCAAGCCAAAGCCAGGCAAGAAGAAGTACGAGGCCCACTTTGAGCTGGG